TCTACTCTATTATAGTTTGGACCTTCTCAATAAGTGTAGAAGATTCTCAGATTTACGTAGAAAAGCACAGGAGCTTGTGTGGTGATTATGCTGCATAAAAATTAAGTGTTCACATGACATAAATTCATAGTTCTAGAGGACTTTCTCTTCAGTTATTCATTGAATCATTGGGTGTGTTTATTATCTTAAGTCAATAAAAAACTAATGGTATCAGATGCGACGTGGAACTGAAATTATAATTTGGTGTATCTTATTTGGTCAAATAGCTAGTTCTGATTTCTTAGATCAAATGCTGGTGTTAGCTAAATTATTGTGTTGTAATAATTCTTAATGTTTTCTATTAACCATGTCACATTTTACATTATTTCAATTTTATATGTTTCTGTTCCACCCTTTCATTACTGTAATATTTGTTGAGGTATTAAAGACTAGGTGGTGCATGTAGACAGATTTTGCCATTGTGGCTATGAGTTTATATTTTTCATTTTGGCAAATAAATTCAAGTAAAAGGATATCCATAGATAATGTTGGTTGTAAAAATCTAAAAATGAGATTACACAGTTATACATTACCTTAATTTTGAAATTATAGAAGTTGGTGACTTGATGTGAAATGGAACGAAGTTGGTGCAAAATGAATGTAGAGATCTTGGGGTGGGATCAGAGTATATTTGGGCAAACTCCTGGGGATTTTTGTGAATTTGGGAAGTTTCTCAATCGCGTTAAACAAACAAGTAAAAAGGTAAATGTAATTCAGAAAATTGGGTGGCTTCCCTTTTTCCAAAAGTGTCTCACTTTGGTGGCTTTTGATCCCTTTAAAATTTTATTCTGAGTCTCTATTTGGCATCCTATTCCAATAAAAGAATTATTTGTGTACAACAAAGTCATCGTCCTTATGGGCTCATATCTTATAGTGGCCTATCAAAGCAGGTTTTTGAAATCTTGTCATTTATCTAAACATTGTAAATAAATTGTTGTGTGAAGAGCAGGACAGGAAGCGGCAAAATATGTGCCTCGGGAGGGGATGGATTTGCTGGTGGAGGTGGTGGAAGAGTATCTATCGATGTGTTTAGCAGGCATGATGATCCCGTATTTTTTGTGCATGGTGAGACCTCTTATGAGTTTGCACTAGTTTCTTATTACTTATTATAACTCAAACATTAATGTTAAGAGATCATTGCATTTCTAACTACAATGGTTAACGCGGGAACTCACAATTAGGATTTAAAGAAAACTATTGGTGCATTAGTTTAGTGTAATCTGAATTTTAGCTGGTAGCTGGGTTCTAATATTGATACGTACCGTAGGTTTCTTCTTGTGCTCCACATAAAGAATGTACAGAAGGTTATGACCTAAATAAAATTCATTATAGTTTGTACCCAGTATTCCATAACCATGTTCTTGTGTCAGCTCTGTCATGTTGTTATATCTCTTATTAACTATAATTTTTTCTACAATTGTCTAAGGTGTGTAAATACCTGTGACCTCTTATGATGGATTTGCTCGAATCTTTATTTGTGATTTTCAATGGCATGGCATCTCAGGTGCTTAAGGCCCTTTCAACACTAGATTATTATACTTCTGGTTATGATGTTTATAGCCAGAATCTGGAGTATTACACTATCAAACATATGATCGGTTTCTTTGAGCGATTGGCAGTAGTAGTCACGCTCTTTCTCCATGCAAACCCTTGACAAATGTGCTTTAGCAACCAGCCTTTTATCTTGGAACTTTTAGCGTGCTAATTTCAAGATTTGGATTTGGGTATTTGAGGAATTAATCTTTCTGATGGATAAATTTTTGTCCAAATTTTGATAGGGGGAAGAAGCTTTGGCTGTCCCATGAATGCAGGTGCAGCTGGAACATTCTTTGATTCTGTTCCTCGACGACTTATCATTGACAATAACAACTTGTCAACTGATACTGCCACACTTCTTTTACAATTTCCTAACCAGCCACTCTGGACAAACATTTACATTCAAAATTGTGCTCAAGCTACTGTTCCTTTATTATGGAGTCGAGTTCAGGTAATTGAGTTAACAACCTTCTTACCATATTTTTCTTGGATATTTTGTTCTAAATAGTTTTTGACTTCATTATTTTAGTTTTGACTGTATGATATATGGTGGGACCCTGGGAGACTAAATGAAGGATTTTGGATGAGACACAACCCTAGTCTCAGGCTTTAGTGTTTTGATTTTTGTACTTCTAGTATATTACAGTAAGCAAAGAGCAATTCTTTTATCTAAATTGATGAAAGCATGAGATTAATCAGAAGTATAGAAAAGATGCATACCTTGTAATTTTCTATTTCTGTGATCAATTAGGATATGCATCTGTGTTCAATCTTTTCTGGTGCAAGTGTGGTTCTGTTATACATAAGCGATGTAATACACTTTTAATAATTTGAATGACTTCTATCATACATGTAGGTGTCAAGATCCATTTTGGCGAATTCCTCTATGAAATGTGTAAATCTGAGTTTATCACCCTGGTCATCATGTTTTAGACTTATGTGACTTTTTGTATCACTTCTGATTCAAATATACTGGTGATGTTACCTCGCCAACTTTTTCTTCTAATACGTTGCATAACACACTAGTCATAACTACTTTTTAGAATTGTCACATGATTTTGAAACATGATATAAGATAGAGTTGACTTTTAGTTGTTGATGGTGAATATGTTCGATAGATTTTTCTTGTGCTGAAGACCTTTTTTAGCATTATTCGAAATGTATTTCTGCTTAAGATCTTGAAATGAATTTTATCTAAAATATGTTTCGTGTTGCTTTTGTGGTTATGTAAACCACTATTTGTTATCTGTGTAGTGTGTACCCGCTTTGATGATCTAAAGTTTATCCCTTGAACTTTCATAAGCTCTTATCCTTAATGAGCATGAATTTTTTGCTTGACTGATTTGCAGTATTCTGACTTGTGTTTCATAGTTTCTAATGTTTTAGAAAGATGTAAAATGTGGCCACCCTTGCATATATAACTTTTGTTCTTTCTAACTGAATGAGTAGGTTAGAGGACAACTTAGTTTATCGGCTGGAGCAGTTTTGAGTTTCGGACTAGTACATTATGCTTTGTCGGAATTTGAACTGATGGCTGAAGAACTTCTAATGAGCGACTCAATAATAAAGGCAAGATTTATATTGCAGTTTAAACTCTCATCGTTTTTTTAATGTTAATTCTTACGTGCAAGTTTATATATCCTGCGTTCCTATCGTCCCGATACATGCTCTTAATTTTTTCTCTTATTTATGCTCTCGTTTATTTATTTCTCCTTTCTTGGTGGAGGAGGTAGTTGATGCAAATATCTTAATGCACTGCTTTAGATTGGCTCCCTTGGAAATTTGTTTTCTATTTTAACTATTTACTTTTTGGTCTTTAGTTTCTCTACGAAATCAGACCAATCAACTAACCCTACATAAAACCCCAACTCTAAAATGAAATGGGAAACAATAATGTATATAAATAGAAAATATTGAAAAATATGAAAGGGCCTAATGCCTGGAATTTAGACCCTGGCCAATAAATATCGCACTGGCTGCAAGGAGTTCATTTGTTTCCTTTCTGCTTCTGGAAAAAATAATAGAGCTCTTCTGAGCCCAACCCCGAGAGTTATGTCCGTTTCGATTACTGCCGGTGAACACTCTTAGCTCGACCTTCGGGACTCCAAAACTCATCCTCTGTATATTCCACATCTCTAGCTCAAAGGAAGAGAGTGCCTAACCTACTTTTATTTTATTCATAATATAAGCATTAATAACTTAGCAATGTCAGACAAACATAACTTCCGACATGCAAATGCTGCAAATCATTTAGTGAAAAAAGATGATAAATTTTAATATTAATTTTATTTGAATTTTTCGGTGAGATAGAAATATTATTTTACTTGTTTAATGTAATTTCTTTTTCAGTTTAGTGGCATGATACATCCAATGGAATTCGTTTTAGGTCTATGGGGCATTGCGTCTGTCCGTAAAAATACATTTGATGCTGAATTCCAAAATCCTTATAACTGGCGATAGTGATCCAATCGTTGCAACTTCATCGCTTGAAACCAGTAATTTAGCAGTTCTTAAGGTAAGTTGGTCTACATCTGCCCTTTTACTTCACAAGGTTTATCGTTATTACTAAGACTTGTCATTTTTGTACTAATTTGTTGCCAGGGATCGTCCGTAATACATTCAACTGCAAATTTAGGGATTCATGGACAAGGGTCGCTGAACTTGTCAGGGCCAGGAGATATTATTGAAGCACAGCATTTAGTTTTGTCCTTATTTTATGCTATCAGCGTAAGACTTCTCAGAACTCTTAGACAGTACCTTTTTAGGGAAGTTATTGGTTTTCTAATTTAAAGAACAGTCTGTGAGCTAATTAAGTCACAGTAATATGTTTGTCATTCTCAAGGAAAATTATGGATTGTTTTGGAAGAACTTTTGATAATGCTACATTTAGTAGAATCGGGTTATAATTGTTTTCCTGTTTATAACATGACTGCTTTTCCTGTGAAGGTTGGTCCTGGATCCATTCTCCGAGGTCCCTTGGAAAATGCGAGTGATAGCAGCATGTAATTTCTTAGCAAAAACAATACAGTAGATAGGCATTTCCTCACTTTGTACTTCTTGAAATTTTTTACTGTATTCATTATGGTAGGGTACCAAGACTTTACTGTCAACAGAGGGACTGCCCAGTTGAACTGCTTCATCCACCTGAGAATTGCTTTGTGAATACTTCATTGCCATTCACTCTCCAGGTGTTCCAATAATTAGATTCAACACTTTGAGAAATTTCTTTGGTAGAAGTTAATGTATTCATAGTAGCGTATGTCATGTGCTCCTATATTGGAGGTTTAATATATTTGTGTTGTGCAGATATGTCGAGTTGAGGACATCAATATTGAAGGTCTCATGGAAGGTTCTGTTGTTCATTTTCATTTGGTTAGATCTGTGGTTGTGAAACCTTCTGGTACAATAAGTGCCTCTGGACTTGGTACGTGAGTCTCCGTTAAAATGGTAGATTTGTAGTGACCTACAGTAATTTTTGTTCGATCAAACTTGTTATTGAATACATTCAGTTTGTTTATCGGTCATATTCATTCCACTATTTCTTCATGAGCTGCTGGTTCCTGTTTTTGAAGTAATGATATAAGCATAAGTCCAGATTCAAAATTTTAACTTGAAAGGGTACAGGCTGCACTGGTGGGGTAGGTCGCGGAGAAATTTTGCCTAGTGGTCTAAGTAGTGGTGCTGGACATGGTGGTAGAGGAGGCGATGCATATTACGGAGGATCTTATGTCAGGGGTGGTATTGCATACGGGGATTCAGACCTGCCATGTGAGCTTGGTAGTGGGAGTGGAAATGAGAGTCAACTTGGTGTGACTACTGGTGGTGGTGTTATTGGTGAGTTACCAGTTTGATGCTTCTGGAATATTTTTAAGTTCTTTGCCGATGTTTCAAAGTGAGGAAGCTTGACATACGAGTTTGAAGTAAATATTATTTCTTACATGGTTAGTTTCAAACCGTTGCATGGGTAAATACTGATAAGAAGGTATCTGGTGTGAGTCAGACTTAATTGCTAACTGATGCTACATTATTTTTTCATGCTAATTTCAACTTGAATCCTAAAGCATCCTTCAATCAACAGTAAAAATATAAGATATCATCCGCACTTAGGGCGCGATTGGATATGAATCTAATCGGTTTTGACCAGTTTTGTTTAGTTAAAGTGAGTTCAAGTGAGTTATTTTGAATAAAGTAGATTGAGTGGATGATTTTGAGTTTGAAATTAAATAGCATTTAATGTGTAATGATTAAAGTTGATGTGATGTAAAAGCATGAGAGAGATTATTGGAAGTGATAGGTAGTTAAAATTATGTGAGTGGATGAATAACGAATTAAAGTTGATGTGATGTGTGAGAATGATTGATTGGTTTTATTTAATTATATTTATAAAAAAGTAGGAGAGTTGGGCTGAGTTGGATTTTGAGTTAGATGATTGGATGTGAAATAACCCAACCGGTCATAACCGGTTAATACCGGTTATAACTCATATCCAATCACGCCCTGGTAATGTCATCACAGGCAAAATGAAAAGCTATTTAAGTTTGTTCATACTCCTGTCTTATTGTTTTTTAAGGTTGGGAATATGCATAATCATTGATTAATATTGATTTTCATTGAGGTACGATTCCTACTGTGCTTTGCTCAAGAAACTTGAGTCACATGCCTTTTTCTAATTCCATTTCTTTTAAGCCTTTTAAATATTGTGGTTACTTGTTCTGCGAGCTTGCTGATGGATGTTTGAATTGTTTCTGCAAACAGTGATGGGTTCACTGGAGCATTCCTTGTCAAAATTGGTTGTGTATGGTAATATTAAAGCTGATGGAGAAAGTTATGGTAAGTATGTTGGAGGGAAGGAAGTTGGGATTGTGTCAGATGTTGGTCCAGGAGGTGGATCTGGAGGATCTATTCTTCTGTTTGTCCATAAGTTTGTCCTTGATGAATATGCTACCATCTCAACCATTGGAGGGCATGGAAGCGCCAATTGTGGTGGTGGAGCTGGTGGAAGAATTCACTTCCATTGGGCAGATGTTCCTATTGGAGATGAATACATGCCAATGTCCGTTGTCAAAGGAACTATCGGAATCAGGTTTGTTTGAACATAAGCCACTAGGTTTGATAATATAAGAGCAGTTTATCGGGCAAAACTTCGAATCCCTTTTTATGTTCTAGACTTCTAGGGTGTGGTTGGATATAAGTTATTTTGGTTTTGATTGGATTTGTTGGTTACCTAGAGTTAATTTTGGAAACATTGGTTGGGTTAGGTTTGAGTGGAATTTTGAGTTTGTATTAAAATAATATTTAAAATAAAATGATTAAAGTTGCTTTGATATAAAAGTAGGTGAGTGGTGATTGGAAGTGATGGATAGTTAAAATTATGTTAGTGAATGAATAGTGAATTAAAGTTGATGTGATGTGTGAGGATGATTGAGTGGTATTATTTAATTATATTAATAATATTGAGGAGAGTTGGGTTGAGTTAAATTTGAGTTACATTTTGAGTTAAAAAAAGTGATTGGTCAAAAGTGTTTGGGATTTTTGTATCCAAGTACCCTTTTAGCTCAGAGGATCATTTTGCAAGCTGTAATCAACAGTACGTTGCAACGTATTGACATGTTAAGAATAAAGTTATATACACAGTAGGTAATAGTAATCATCTGCCTTTGGATTGAGGGTACTAAAACTTTTCTTGTATCTTAGTGGCCTTGCTGGTGATATTGGCTAATATTCTGTAATAAACTTCGCTATAGAATGAATCGTTCAGTTTCTCTGGTAAACTGTTTGGACCATTTTTAGGTTTCTGCTTTAATTTATATATTATTATTATTTTATTTATCCTCCTTTTACTTTTTCGTTTATTTTTCTTTCTTTTCTTCTTTTTGTTGCTCTCTACGTGTTGTTTTATGGATTTGGCCACTGGTGACAAAAATAAATGGATAAATAGTAAAACTACATTTGATAGACATGTTACGAATGAATTGCTATTTGCAGTAAAGATTTGTGTGCTTATAGAAGCTCATATTTTGGTTTTGATGATGCAATGCAGAGGAGGGAGTGGTAGGGGTCTAGGACGAGCTGCTGAAAATGGGACTCTGAGTGGAAAAACCTGTCCAAAGGGGCTCTATGGGATATTTTGTCGGGTAATTGGTGCCTATGCTTTTTCTTTAAAGCCTTCTCGGCATGCTGCTATATTCAATACACTCTGCATGCTGCTATATTCAATACACTCTGCATGCCGAGTAAAATCCCTTTGTGATGGGGCATACACTCTGAAAGTTTTACAAACTCTTTAATTGCTCATATCGTGTTACTTATAGACGTTATTTATTTGTGGTATCTGGTTTAGGAACCGCTGTGTACTAGATTATTTTGATTTCTACATGTGTATCATATGTTTTTCAATGATGTGGTATTCGCTGTGAGGATTTTTACTCGGCATGCTGCTAGATTCAGTATCATTGGAACATAAATAATCGCACTTGAATATTTAAAACACTGCTCGCATTTTTTGCTAATATGTTTAAAAAGTTCCATTTTAATACGTAGGTTAATAGAAACTTACACATGAGGTTTATCCTTCGTCAATAATTTGCAAATCTAGTTTCGAAAAAACCCCATTGATGGTGGTTATTATTCTTCCAACTACAATCAAGCTTGAAAGCATTTCATGCCATCCTATTCAGCAGCAACATTTGGGAAAGTCTTATCTGCATAACTTTGGATAACTGAGTAAATTCTCTTATTTGCTAGCAATGCTTGTCCAATTTCTCTCTTATCGTTACTTCTTCCAGTACTGGTTGGCATCCATTCATTAGAAAAGAACAAGAAAAAGATGATGAAAAAAAAAAAAACACTTCAAATTCAATTTTCTTGGTGATTAGTTACTTGTGCTGTTGTACAACAATTTCACATGTTTTGGAATGGCAATTCCTTGATCAACAGTTTCGAAATATATCACTTGTGAGGTGTCACACATTGATATGAGGAAAATTAGAGTAGTTTATAAGCCTAGCCCTAGTGGCAGTGGGCTACTCCTATGATCCTATCAACAATTAGTTTTCGGCTGAAACCTCACTAAGTTGTCACTTGGGCTTGCCCTCTTAAGATGCGCTTCACCCCTATGGGACCGCACCCCTTCCCATGAATTTATTAATCTAATAAACAGCTTGCCAGGCTTAATGAGCTTATAATTTATTGGAATTTCCTCTCTTCAGAATCATTGTATTAAATATATTACATCAATTACTGTATTAATTATTTATGTGTATATATTTGCATGGATCAATATGCTGATCCTAGTAACCTAATGTTATTCCTTGGCCTGTTCCAGTCGCTACCATGCTTCTCTATTCATGACCTGTTACTCTGTTAGTGCTTTGAAGGGCGGCTTATATAATCTGAAATTTCATCAAAATGCAGGAATGCCCACTTGGGACATATAAAAACGTGACTGGATCTAATGGAGACCTTTGTCGTGATTGTCCACCTCAAGAGCTTCCTCATCGTGGAATGTATATTGCAGTCCGAGGTACTTCTAAATTCCGTGTCAGTTTGTTACTATTCTAGAGATAACTTTCTGTTTGGTTAGTACCTACTATTAACTTACAATCATAGGTGGTTTTAATTATTGTAACGTATGATTGGTATTGAAATACTTTCTAAATCATATGTGAAAAAATTATGTACTTTGTACTTACTCTTTATGATCATTTATTTTATAGGAGGCGTCATGGAAACACCATGTCCATACAAGTGTATATCTGAGAGATATCGTATGCCTCACTGTTATACAGCCCTTGAAGAACTAATATACACTTTTGGAGGGCCTTGGTTGTTTGGTTTCATACTTTTAAGTCTCCTCATCATCTTAGCAGTTGTTCTCAGTGTTGCTAGGATGAAGTTTGCTGGTGGAGATGAATTGCCAGGTCTTGTGCCAAGCAGGCGCTGCTCTACAATTGATCGCTCATTCCCTTTTCTAGAGTCGCTAAATGAGGTTCTCATTTTGACTGCTATTTATCAGTTTTTGAGGATTGAAAGAATTTCTACCTTATATTCTAAACGAGACAGTATTTCCTTAACTTTTGTTTTGCGAATAGGTGTTGGAAACTAGTAGAAACGAGGAATCCCAAACCCACGTTCACCGCCTGTACTTTCTTGGGGCTAATACTTTCAGTGAACCTTGGCATCTCCTTCACTCACCTCCTAAAGAAGTGAAAGAAATAGTGTATGATCTCTCTACCTTTATTAGAAAGTAGAAACACTATATTAAGTGCTCATATGAAATTAGATCTCATTCTGAGAAGATATCTGAATATCTATCAGACACATTAATTTCTTGTTGCCTTGTTTTGTTGATAGATATGAGGATGCTTTCAACATATTTGTTGACGAGATAAATGCATTAGCATCTTATGAATGGTGGGAAGGATCTATATATGGTATCCTCTGTGTTATTGTGTATCCACTTGCCTGGTCATGGTTGCAGTGGCGTCGTAAGGAAAAAGTAAAACACCTACGCGAATATGTTCGTTCAGAATATGATCATGCCTGCTTGCGTTCTTGCCGTTCAAGAGCTCTCTATGAAGGGCTGAAGGTATTCTGTAACTTCTTTTATGAGTTGCATTTTGGAACTTTGGGCATATAACTAGGCAAAAGCTTTGATTATATGAAACGGTAGGGCGCCTCTCAATACGAGCAATTAGTATCAAAGTTCAAAGCCATGTTTCCATAATCATCCTTGTACTAAACCCAAAACCTATTAAGTAGAAGTGTATTTTTGTGCATAAGAAAATATGAGCCTGAGACCTCAAGGTATGAAATCATCTTGATTGTCAATCTTGTGTTGCTTGAAATCTTTTTCATATCAGTATTGTGACTATTTTGAATCCTTCTCTTTAATACAATATTAAATCCATGGATTGTCTCTTGCTCTAAGTCATTATTGATCAGCTCGTTTATGACTACGTAGCTCAACTCTGATTTGCATTGCATGTGGATGAATCCTGTCGTGCACTAATATTAACTCAATCTTATTATATAAATGAGATTGAATTCTTTATCGACCCTCAGCCTGCCCCTACTGCAGGTTGCTTCAACTTCTGATTTCATGCTAGGGTATGTTGACTTTTTCCTTGGTGGAGATGAAAAGAGAAGTGACCTCCCTCCCCGCCTTCATCAACGGTTTCCAATGTCTATATTGTTCGGGGGAGATGGATCTTACATGGTTCCTTTCTCCCTCCAAAGTGATAACATTCTAACAAACCTCATGAGCCAGGTCTGGTCTCAACTCTCGACTCATCATGATTTGATTTGACTTGACTTGACATAAATTTATAACGTAAAATATAATGAATAATATGTGTTACTTGTGAAACCAATTCATGGGGATTTTTATGTGAATCTTTTGCTTCTTCATGGTAGTCGGTGCCCCCAACAATTTGGTACAGGCTGGTAGCTGGTCTTAATGCTCAGCTTCGTTTAGTTCGTCGAGGGCATTTGAGGTCAACTTTTCGTCCAGTTGTCCTCTGGCTTGAGATGCATGCCAATAGAACATTACGCACTCATGGTGTACGTGTTGAGTTAACTCGCTTTCAACCTTCAGCAAGCGGCTATTGCCAATTTGGACTTGTTCTGTGTTCGTTAGAGGACGAAAGTAGTCATTCACCCGGTCAAGGGTCAGAGAGGCGTCTCTTGCATGAGAAGCAGTCACGGTAAAAAAATCTCATCTGTTTCCGTAGAATGTCAGATGTTATTATGACTCGGTGAGTCAGTTTCATTTGTTTCACTGCCTGTTTCTATCGCATATTTTCTGGGTTTTACCAAACAGTTCGCCTGCAAACCGCTGGAAGAAAGCATTGGATCTTGTTAGAGTTAGTGAACATGCAATGACACAGAAAAAGACATGTGGAGAAGTTATAAATTCCAAGAGCTTACAGAAGCTTGAAGAAGGGTTCACATTATATTTTCCTTTCTACTACATAACACGTAACATCAAGCCAGTTTGCCATCAGGTAATTTGATTGTTCTTGACTGCATTGGATCTATTTCATGTTATGTTCATATATATGTAAAAGGATAATGAGGCTCAATATATGATCTTGACTGGCCTTTTTTAATATTGCAGGATCTTGTTGGTTTAATCATCTCGGTTCTACTTTTAGGAGATTTTAGCTTAGTGTTGCTGCTTCTGCTTCAGCTATATTCCATATCAATGCTTGATGTCTTCATGTTTTTGCTTATTCCTCCTCTGGGGATACTTCTTCCATTTCCCGTCGGAATAAATGCCTTATTTAGTCACGGGCCCAGGCGATCAGCTGGTCTTGCACGCGTATATGCTTTGTGGAATATTACCTCTGTGATGAATGTTGTAAGTATGAACTCTCGTTTATCGTCTATTTATTGTACAAAGTTATTTACAGAACTATCTATTTTAGTTGCTTTTGTTTTCAGCTGGAGTGTTAAACGGAAAGTTTTGCTTCTGGAAAATTATTAATTCTACATTGTCTGCTTTTAGGAAGTCTTTACTTGCTGAAACAAATGGAGTAGCGCAAATAGGGATATAAGTTGAAATGAATGCTTGGTAAATGGGTTGTGAGTTGTCACAAAGGAATATTATGTGCTTGGTAAATAGATTGCTCTTAGACTAGGAAATAATAACTTAATAGTGTTGAATATAAATATGGATAACTAAATTAAATACATGAATAATAGTTATTATAATGGCACGATAGCATTTAGAATTTACATGTAGAAAACTCACTTATATGTTTGCTTAATTATATTGAACAGATGGCTGCGTTCATATGCGGACTAGTTCATTTCAAGACTCAGTCCTCATCGAATAAAAGGCATCCAAACTTTCACTCCTGGAATTTTAGCATGTAAGAATCTATTTTTATGTTTCAAATGTACTCTATACTCTGAAATGGAACTAGTATTCTTTCATTTTCATTTCGATGCATAAATACATATATATTGTGTTGAACATTTGCATGCAGGGATGAAAGTGGTTGGTGGATGCTGCCTTGTGGACTTATTGTGTGTAAAGTTCTCCAGGCTCGGCTAATTGATTATCATGTTGCTAACCTTGAGATCCAGGACAAGACGTTATACAGCACTGACACTACTGTTTTCTGGCAGTCGTGACGAGCACTAATCGGCCAAGTATGAAAATTTTAGTTTTTTTGCATTTTTTTTCATGGATTTCCCTGTGCTCAATTCACTCCACATTTTATTTGCATCCTGAGGTGGTTTATGTGCAGGCCACAAGGTAGAAATTGTCATTGCTCCAAGTTTTCTTGTGCTTTCATCCTTTTTTTTTTTCGGTCCATTCACTTTTCTCTATAGATTTTAGATTTGCCTTTTGCATCCTGAATCAATCTGTGTGATATTTTTTCATGAAGGTGATGGCTGCACAAGTACTCAGCAACATGTTAAAGATTTATCTGTTGTAGTTTGCTACATGTCTTCTGGCACTACATCAATATACTTTTTTTTTTTTCAGAATTTTATTTGAGAGAAATTTTGTTTGCAGTCATATAAAGGACCCCCATTTTTATGGTGTGTTCGACTTTTTGTGTTGCCCCTTTAATTCATTTCCCACAAATTATTCCATATAGAAATCATCGCTGTCTTCCATTAATAACAGCAGTTGGCCTAATTTGATTGATTCCCTTTAGGGACTTTTGAGACCCACTCATATCAAGTGCTTTTTTTTTTTCTTCTTTTCTTTTTCCTTTTTTCTTCTTTCTTTTTCGACATATCAAGTGCTTTATTCAGGACATTTTTGTGATGAGTTGATGTAACCGTGTTCGTTTGTCATATCTCACAAATTTCATATATTTTTATATATTTTTAATGTATGACATTCTAATAGTATGTAACTACGTATATTTAGAATAACCGGACAATAGTAAACATATGGCTGGCTTAATGATTAATTCGCTGAACATAATAGCTACCAATTAGTGAGAGGATCTTTAAACAATTCCGCTATAATCCTTCTTATTTAATTTCTGTTGTGTGGGATAATTCCAATCATACTATTATAATCATAAATTGTTAAAAACTAAGTAAAGCTTACAGTCATTTTATTAACCCGACATATTAACTTGTTTTTAAACAATACTATAACCTTTATTTATCTATTCATATTCATATATTAACTCTCATTAATTATTTTTTGTTTGGAATTATCTTCATCATAAAAATCCAACCATAAATAAAATAGAACATAATATCTATAGAAAATTAAACTTTTTTAATTATTAGCTCGAACAATCTCAGTACATATATTCAACAATATTAAATATTAAAATTTATTTATTCAGTTATTAATTGAAAAAAAAAAACAACTTGAAGAAAATAATAAACGAACATGACAAACTGGAAAAGAAAAAAAAATTGGAAAAGTTTTGTAAAATTAAAGGAAAAAGAGAGAATATAGAAAATATATTCTCATTGTATGATTTTCATTATAATTGAATCTCCTATTTATAAGAAAGCCTCTTATGACACAATCGTAATAATATAATTACATCAAGGGCAAAATAGTCATTCACGCTACATGTAAATGTAATAAATAAGGTTAATTGTTAGTTGCAGAAATATGTATAACACTTCCCACTTGAATGACTATATATCTAAGTTGAAGAAAATCATGGTTGAGATAAAACTTTGAAATATCTTGAAGTGTATCTTGTGGCCATCAGGTACTGCCGTATCTTGTCAGAAAAATCCAGTGGGACAAAACCTTAATAGGCAAGACATCAAATTACTCTGTCACCATCATTGGATTGTTTATGCTTAACATACATTTAAAATAGCACTAACAGAGCAAAACTTAATCAAACAAAAAATAGAAATAAAATAATCCCAAAATAAGGTAACTACAAGAAAATATAATCAAATGTAACAAAATTTAAATTGAGTAAAATAGAATGCATAATTTAAATAATAAATAATATTATTATTTAATATAAAAATAAAATGATAGAAAAATTAAAATATGTTTTAATGAATTGAAGTAATAAAGTATATATATATATATATATATATATAAATAAATGAATTTATTTAAAAAAAAATGATACTTTTATTTATAATATATTAATAAAGTAGTAATTTCTAGAAATAAAGTATTTTATATTCAACAGGTATATATGATTTTTATTTATTTCTTTTATTTATTTTGATATAATTTTGTCTTTTTTTTTTAAATGTTCGATAATATATCAATTTAATTTTTTCAATAAAACTTAATTTTATAATTTGTAATAAATAATTTAAATATTTATTTTATTCAATTTATTTATTTTAAATTCTATTAAATGTATAATAAATAAAAAATATTTATAATTTAAAAAAGTATGAATTAAAATATCAAGTATCCTTCGTTATAAGCTTTAAATAATATAAATAAGTTTTTTTCAGTTTATTTATTTTTAAGTATGAATAAATGTAGACTTTTATTCAATTATATATTATTTATAAGTTAGAATTTGTTTATTCAATTATTATATTATTTATAATTTAGGATCTATTTACTTAATTATCATATTATTTTCGTTATATCTTATGGTATAAATAAATAAAATCACACTTATAGCAATGCGCTTCATAGCCCAATTGGTTAGGATAGTTGACTATAACCCAAAGGTTGTAGTTTTAATCCCATCATTGAGATTTTATTTTCAAGTCAATATATGGACTTTAAGGGTATAACAATAAAATCAACGAAAAAATAAGTGTATGATGGTAAAATCGCAAAAACGTAAGCTAGTAAAGTAATGCCCTTAATTGAGTATACATTAATCAAGACATTAAATACAAGAGGTACAATGAAAAATCAACGAAAAAGTAATGGTATAATGGTAAAATCAACAAAAAAGTAACACTAGTAAAGTAACGTCGTTAACAGAAAATGACGAGTGTGCATGAAGACATTAAATACAAGAGGATATAATGATAAAAACAACGAAAAAGTAAGAATATAATAGTAAAATCAACAAAAAAGTAACGTCTGGTAAATTAACATCGTTAACAGGAAAAAGGCTAGTGTGCTAAATATTAAATACAGTGGAGGGTATATGATAAAATCAACGAACAAGTAAGGGTATAATGATAAAATCAACAAAACAGTAACACTAGTTAGGTAATGCTATTAACAGAAAATGAAAAGTGTGCATTAAGACATTAAATACAAGAGTTGATATAATGATAAAATCAACAAAAAACCGAATCGCAAATAGTGAATTAGTAAAAAATAATGGAAGTTAGAAATCAATTAAATAAATAAATAAAAAGTAAACTATTCATAAATTTAAAATTAATACATTTATAATTTGAAAGAAATCATAAATATAAAAAACGTAACAAAATTTAAAAATAATTAGTCTAAATTTTATCAAATATAATCACCTCTAACATGCATATAGATGGAATGTAGGGTTGTTCGTGCAGCCAACCACACACTCAACCGTACATTTTGTTATTATGCAATGACCAATGCACACCACAAAAGGCTATTATGAATATTCAAATGTATTCCTCAGATAATTTCAAATGGACCAATCACCAATGAGAAATATACATATAAAATTAAAAGTACACACATTGGAAACACAGATTCCTTGCTCAACTAAACAAAATAAACTGTATCTCTCTCTTACACACACAACACACTCTTTCCTCCATCTCTCTCCATGAGTTGAGTTCAGTGTGTCGGAAATACAGAGAGATGGAGAGAGACTGCAACTAAATTAAGGTTTTATATTATTTATTTTGTAATAAATCGAAAGTTGTCAGTATGGGGCAGCAAGAGGGATTAGAAGAGGCTCCGTTGTTGTTTCTGGCGAATAATAATTCGAAAACAGAGAAAAGGAAGAAGAAGCTGTTGGTGTCCTTCCTTTTTCTTCTACTCCTCGTCCTTGCCTGTGAGTTTTTTACTTTTTAATTCTTCTTGGTTTTCTCCACCAATTTTTTTTTTTTTTATTAATTAATGATTTTATAGAGAACAGAATTAATGACTAGAGAAGAATAAAAAAAACAAAATTTCGAGAGTGAGAAGTTGTTAAATACTTAAATTAGTTCGAGGAATTTGGTAACTTTGATTAAAAAATCGTATCTAATAAATTATTTTGTGTGCAGAAAAATAGGAGATAAAGATTCAAGAAGCAAAAGTCAAATCAATTACTTTGGGAATGCAAGTTTTTGATTGAAATTAACTTGGTGAATCTTAATTTTGCCAATATCATAACATTAATCAATATATAATGGTGCACGCCACGTAGCTCCTTAATTCTCCATTTTTCCTTTTCCTTATTTATTTATTTGAGAGCGGTGAAGCAGGGCCTGGCGAGTCGAACATCGTGAATAGAAGAAGATTCTCAATTAGGAATGATGATATCGATGTTGTGGAGTCGAATGAAGCTGTGGTGGCGGCGGATGACAAACGTTGTTCAGAGATTGGTATCTCGATGGTCGAGAAAGGAGGGCACGCCGTTGATGCCGCCGTCGCCACTGCACTGTGCCTTGGTGTCGTCAGCCCTACGTCAAGTGGAATTGGAGGCGGTGCTTTTATGCTCGTCCGATCATCATCATCTTCATCATCATCATCTGCAATCGACATGAGGGAAACTGCCCCTGCAGCTGCTTCTCAGGTTCTTACTTGCTTTTTCCCCTAAATTTCCACTTTCGATTTAGGGTTTTTTACTTGTTCCTTGATGATTGCCAAAAATCACCAACAAAATTGGATCAATATGAAAAATCATCCTATAATCCCATGTCCTATAAACAAAATTGGATCAATATGAAAATTTCCACTTTCAATTTTTTTTTTTCATAGATATTTCACTTGTGTAGAATATGTACGAACAAAATTCGGGAGCCAAATATGAAGGCGCCTTGTCGATGGGCGTCCCAGGCGAGCTGGCCGGGCTACACGCTGCCTGGTCAAAATACGGGCGTCTTTCCTGGCGGGCCCTTTTCCAGCCCGCAATCCAGCTGGCAAAAAACGGGTTTGTGGTGGGCCCATACCTTGGGGCCCGTATGGCCGGAGTGGAGAAAAAGATCATGAGTGATCCAGGATTACGGCAGGTCTACGCACCAAACGGGAAACTTTTGAAAACTGGTGAAATCTGCTATAATGTGGAGCTTGGGAACAGCTTAGAGGCTGTGGCTGAACAAGGGCCCGAAGCCTTTTACAATGGGCCTCTTGGTCAGAAGCTAGTTACTGATGTGAGGAATGCGGGTGGGATTTTGAGTATGGAGGATTTGAGAAGCTATAGAGTGAAAGTGGTGGATGCGGTTGAGGTGAATGTGATGGGGCACACGATACTAGGAATGCCGCCGCCTTCTAGTGGGACTGTCGGGCTCTCACTTGTGAGTTTATTTAAGTTATATATTCTATGTTTGGTAAAACGGATAAGTGATTTTCGAGCTTATAACTTATTGCTAATGACTTGTCTAACTTATATGGTAAAAATGTTTGGTAAAATAAGCTTATACCTAAAATAAAAATTTCAACGAGTTTATTTGAAAAGCTACCCAAAAAAGCTTATGATATAAACTCGAGTTTTTTAAAAATGCTCGTTCTACTAAACGAAACTTATTTAAATATAGGAAACTTATAAGTTATCCAAATAAACTATAAGCTAGCTTATTTGGTTACCAACCGTAGTCCTTTTTATGAATTGCGAGCCTCCCACTTTGGGCGTAGCCCGGTCTTGACCTGTCGTGAGTCGACAAATGTCAACTTTCGATCACTCCATGCGATAAATTCGAATAAAAAAAAAAAAAGAATAATTCAAATAGTGTAAGGTTAGTAGACTTTGTTTCTTAAAATTCCCTCCCAAAAAAGACAGGTCTAAAGACAATTTCAAGATAGCTTGAGAAAAAACACAATCATTTGTAGGAAAAAAAAGGTCAAAAGTGTGTTTTAATTACTTTTACTATTTTGTTCATTGACTGTATTCTATTCGTTGACATACAACCTAAATACCTTATTTAAGGTAATTAACAAGAATGTCTTCTTGAGACTCTACTTTAAATAGAAATGTTGTTGAAACTAAGGGCTATCATTTTTTTTTGCAATCAACACTTTACAAACCTGTGTTTCCATTGTTGATTTGAGGGGCACAGGTTCTGAACGTGCTGGAGAGTTATGGCAACCGGGACGCGGTTAAAGGCCCGCTAGGCCTGCACCACCTGATCGAAGCCCTCAAGCACATGTTCGCCTTGCGAATGGATCTCGGTGACCCTGACTTCGTCAACATCACTAAAACCGTGTCGAAAATGCTCTCGCCTTCCTTCGCAAGGAGCATTCGAGAGAAAATACTCGATAACACCACTTTCCCTTCTGAATATTACCTCCCCAGGTTCTCTCTCCCCTTCTCGTGTATTAGTCATTTGTTAAAAAAATAAAAATAAAAATAATAATAATAATAATAACAAGTTTTTCTCAGATGGAGCCAGCTAAGGGACCACGGGACAAGCCATTTTTGTGTGGTGGACTCGGAAAGAAATGCAGTGTCGATGACTACAACGGTCAACTACGCTTTTGGGGGCGGCGTGCTGTCGCCTTCGACTGGAATCGTACTCAACAACGAGATGGGAGATTTTTCGATACCAACCGATGTGGGACCCGGAGAGCTCCCGCCTACCCCGAGTAACTTCATAAGGCCGAATAAGAGGCCGTTATCGTCCATGAGTCCCATCATAGTCCTCAAGGTGTAAGCATAGATTAATTGCATTTTTTAGTTTAACAAAATTTGGCTTCTTTAATGAATTTTCGATTTTTTTCCTTTTCTGTCCCTTCCTTTGTTAGGACAATCAGTTAGCTGGGGTGATTGGGGGCAGTGGTGGTTTGGACATTATTCCTGCAGTGGCCCAGGTTTTCATCAACCATTTCATTCTTGGGATGGAACCTCTAAAAGCTGTTCAGAGTCCAAGAGTATATCACAAGGTACCTATATAGGCTATGTTTGGTAAAACTAGCTAGCTTATAGCTTATATGTAATTTTCGAGCTTATAACTTATAGTTTACGACTTATAGCTGAAAAGCTAACTTACATGATAAAAGTGTTTGGTAAAATTAGCTAATAAGCTAGCTGAAATAAAAATTTCAACGAGCTTATTTGAAAAGCTACCTAAAAAGCTTATGAGATAAGCTCGGAGCTTTCTGAAAAGCAAGTCCTACCAAACGAGGTTTAGTCTATGTTTGGTAAGCCAAATAAGTTAGCTTATAGCTTATTTGGTTAGCTTATAAACTTCATGTATTCAAATAAGTTTTGTTTGGTAGGACGAGCTTTTTTAAAAAGTTCGAGCTTATCTCATAAGCTATTTTAGGTAGCTTTTCAAATAAGTTAGTTGAATTTTTTATTTCAGCTAACTTATCAGCTAATTTTACCAAACACTTTTATCATATAAGCTAACTGAAAAGTCTTAAGCTATAAGCTAAAAAATTACAAATAAGCTATAAGCTAGCTTATCAGCTATCAACTAGCTTATCAGCTAGTTTTACCAAACACAACCTTATTTGATTTCAGAAATCTTGCCATATATTCATTAATTGTCCAAAAAAACTCACTCAAATAATTCTTGTATTAATTTTCCACAATTTTTTTCTTTGGCAATATGTGTTTTTGTGTAGTTATTCCCAAATGTTGTCTCGTACGAGAACTGGACAGTGATAGATGGCGAACATATTGAGCTTTCGGAAGAGAGGAAGCGATTCTTGAGGGAAAGGGGCCATTTGCTGCAGGCCAAAGCAGGGGGAGCTATTTGCCAGCTGGTGGTTCAGAATCTTACGAAATCAGTGGATTTGGGGAGAAAATTGGGGAACGGTAATGTTTTCCGGGGCATGCTGACTGCTGTTAGTGATCCCCGAAAGGGCGGCTGCCCTGCAGCTGCATGATGTTCACATTCGTTTGGAACTCGTATTTTTTATTCATTTACGCAATTTGATTGGCCGTGAATGTGATGCATGATCTGTAAGTATGTAACTAGATTGTCACATTAGGAGCTCAGTTGCCCTCACAGTTTGAATAAGTTAGAGAAAAAAACAGCAATTAGTGGCACTGCAAAACTCACAACGTGCAAAACTTTAAACTCGAGCGGGAGTCGAATTCCTTCATTTTCCACTTTTTGTTTCTTTCTTTTTGTTATTTTCTCTAGTCACTATACTCACAACATTGCCAAAAGGACGATCCATAGTTTCAACTGTCAGGTGAAAAAATTTCAACTTTGCAAGCTCTTTGTGCAAACACAGGGAAAGAGAACTCTATGTAATCACAAAAGGAAAATGCCATGGGAGCAGTAAGGTGTGCTACTAAAAGCTGCCATGTACTATAACAAGATAATTGCCGAATCAGAATGAGATTTTATTAAATATGATAACTATATGATGTGAAAAATGATAAGAAAATATTACAACATTAATTAAAAGAATTGTGAGGGTCAATTCGATAAGTCAAACGATAGAGCTATTCGGGTTGTTTGAAAAAATAATTCGAATACATGAATCTTTCATGGGTGAATCTTTAATAAAAATATTAACTAGCAACCAATTAGGCCATGACAAACGGAGAATAGTGTATATACTATATTATCAATTACATTAATCAAGTTGAGAAGCAGAGGTTAAAATTATTTTATAGTTACACAAAATTATTCAACAAAAATTATAAGGCACACGATATAATTTTTTATGATGCATATTATTCGTCTCATGCATCGTACAGGCTAAATACTAGTAGTAGGTAGACACAACAATCGAATCGTGCCTTATTCACAAGTGTACTATACCAACTTTAGCAGTGACGGATCACGTGAACAATGTATGTATTTAAGCAAAGACACCAAAAATAAAATAAAATAAATGAATCAGGATGATTTCAGTTTCCGAATTATTCATGTATGCATACCCTTAATTCTCATTTGATGCCATCAACTGGTGGACCTAACGTTTCAAAACTTGCTAAAAAAAGGGATAATATGAAGGTATCCCAACCATAGCTAGCCGAACAAGGACGATTTCAGATTCCGTAGAACTTTCTGCTAACAGAATCGTAGCTAGGCAGATTAAGCACTGCAAACCAAGAAGAGAATTACAGAAATATGAGCTCGGTAGATAAATCATATGAACGAGAGAAAAAAGAAAAATCTTTCAGGAGACATTGAATTACCATCGCCATAAGATGCCATTGTGAGGGGAGACATTAAAAGCTTTTGTGTTACTCTAGCAATATCTTTCGGGCGGATTAAATCAAGTATCTCCAAGAAATGATTTACGGTTCTCCTATTAATTAAAGTAAACAATTAATGGTATGCCCCGAAAAAGATAGGTGGTACCCTAAAAATTCTTGCCAGATCAAAAACGAAAATAACGCAGGTGAAAACATTATTTATCAGAATCAGAGATACAAACAAGCAGAAACTCCCAGATCTATAATAAGCTTAATTTATCTTAACATAAGCTTAATTTATCATTAGCTCCAAAAAATGTGAACTAAGAGGGACAATGGTAATAAGATGCTGTAGAGTGAATGAGTTTCTATTTCTCCAAATTGATATCTGATACTGACTTGAGGACTAATAATCCGCTAATGTACTCCTCAGTCCAATGTGTTTTTTCCTTTTTTTTTTATTATTTTTTTCTTCCTTTATTTCTTTCTTTTTTCTTTTGCTAGTTTGACATCGACAAAGCAACGTTGAACTTGTTTAGCATGGAGATTCATAGTCCTCCTATTTTTAATAAGTGTCGTCTTGAGAAATTGCACAGTAATTAATATTTTTTTTTTGCTGATCATAACCCTCATTAATAACCCTCATTAATGAGGAATTAATGAGGATAGAGATGGATGTTTTGAGAAAAGATGAAGAGTGAATATGAAAAGACGTAGTGTATTTATTAGCTAGATGAGGGTAATAATGGAAAAATATGTACAAAAGATCTAAAACGTCATTTATTTAGTTAATTGTTGATTAAGTCAAAATGACATTTAAAAAAAATAAATAGGAGGTAGTATGAATTTTGTTTGTCAGTCAGATACTTAGATTATTTTTTCTTGTTTGATATAGAATTGTTCAACATTAGTAATATTCATTGTACTAAAAATCGGCCAAGGCGCCGACCGGCCGCCTCCGATTTGCATGAATCGGCCGGTTTTCCGCCTCTTGTTTGTTTTTGGTCAAAAGGCGGCTAGGCACTCCTAGACGGGCTCGGCAATTTTTTAATTTTTTTTAAATAATAATTACATTATTTTGTTATCATGTTTTCTTTATAATATGTTAATATTATTATTTGAATTTAGGTGTGAATTTATAATAAGTTGAGATAATTTATTTTGTAGTTAGTAAAAATAAATAAAAAATAAGGTATTTAATCTTAAAATCAAGGCCCCGCTTAGGCGCTCTTCTGGGTCCCGCTTAGGCGCTCTAGGCATAAGACGCTCGTCGAGCGACTAGCGACTTCTGGTTATACTTAAGGTCCCAAAATGAATGACTTTTATCGTAGTTACACAGTTATTTCAATAAACATTTTAATTTCAAGAAAACCATGTAATTAGTGGCCACTATCTCAAAAGGTCTGAGAATGAGTAATCACTAACATGCAATTGCTTGAAAAAAAGTTATTGCTGGGCTGACCTTTCTCCATATGTCAATACTTGTCTGCCTATGTCTTCTGATGCAACCATCTGCAAAAACAACCCAATCAGTGACAAAATATACCCACCACATCCATATAAAAATAGAAGGCATTCAATATTAAATATGAGCACGATCAAGTAGTTAAGTAGTAAGTACTCTGGATTCCAAATTCATCAAAATGGAAGACTTTGTTGCTTGTTTTGCACGATTTAGCTGAGCCTCGTCAACTGCAAGATTAAAATACACGCGCTAACAAGATCAACAAAATTTATCCAAAAAACAAAAGCATAAAGCAAACAGTAAATGTAAAACGTCGTAACCACAATTTTATTCCAGGTTTCTAAGCTCTAATAGAACAGAAAATTATCTGAAACACGTGAATTTGGAAAAGGAATGTGTTAAATTAAAGAAACTTGAATAAATACACCAAAAGATTCACATGCACATAAGAATATGGAGTAATTAAGGGCTCTTCAATTTTCTTGACGGTTACCAAGAACCAAAAGTATGGATAAGTTGCAAGAACAACTGAATCACAAAGTACAAAAAAATATTCCCTCTTTTTCATATTATAATTATAATAGTTTCCTTTCACATTTTCAAACAAAAACTGAGCACCCTAAATTAAAATACTCAATGTTGACTTACTTTGGAAATTGTCATATTGACTTACAGAATAGAATTATACCATGGAAAATGAATTAAACGCACCTTGAAGGCTTGAACTAGCAAAGGGACTATAATTTTGAGACAAGCATAAGAATGTTACGAGACAAGAAAGATGGGTTGGAGGGAGTAATAAAGTTAGTTGGCAAAACCTTCTCCAGGGCAAGCAACTTCAGTGAGTTCTTTAACAGCGATATCAATAGCGCTTGTTGCAAAATCAGAACCCTGTATACATGGAATTGGTTTTCACATAAAATAATTTAAAAAGTAAGCAAGCGAATGTGAATCTACATTAATACAATATCCAAATAAGATTACTGTATATTAAGGTTAGATCCTCAACTAATGAACTAAGCCAAAATTTCCACGAGCCCATATCAAGAAATATAACAATACGATATAAACAACAAATTCACACTCGTGTATTTGACTGGATAGTGGATACAAATGGATAAATACTTATTATACTTGGTATATTGTGCAGCAATCATGTATATTTTGCAACAACTTTGTTTTCAAGGTACATCAATGCCATACATTATTGTATACATCAAATAATCAATCATTTGATGATGAATATGTCATCAGATTTTCTTGTAACAGTTAAAAAATGATTAAGGTACAAAATTGCTCCGTATCAAGTATCATTCTAGAGGTTTTGTAAGGACTAAGGAGAACAAAAGTTTGAGTACTGCAAACCTAATCAACTAATAAAATTCTTCATTCCTATTTCTTTTTCTCTTTTCATAAATATCTTAATATAAAAAATTTTCTTTGATTCCTAAAATAAGTAGGGACATAGTTAGCTATTGCGGTAAAAAATTCTACCACAATTAATTTAAAATAAAATTGAATAGAATTAAAGTCTAACTAAACTAAATATGAGATGGAGGGTGTAATAAATATATTCAAACCTCAATCATACAAAGAGTAAACAAGGTAGGTATCCCTGAAAATATTGCGCTATCAGCTACTGAAAACAATTCGAGATACAAAAGTAGTTCAAAAAAGCTTCAGCATAGTAGCAAACAGAATACTTCCTTACAGTTGTAAATTGAATTCCAAACATTCCAGTATGATTCAAAATGCTGCTGAAAGCAGAAAATGATTGTATCTGAGGATACTCGTTCAGGACACGACGATCTGCATAGCAATTAGAAAAATGCTTTAGAGATCCAACATTACGATTTTTGTAAGCTGAATAAAACACAAAATATGATACGAGATTTGAACTTGTGACAAACGAAGACGCAGCAAACAAATTGGAAGTTCACATGAAAAGTTACACCATCTTGGTGGTCGGCATCTCTTTTAGACATTAATGCAAACCAAAAGGCACATGCATTGATAAAACTGAGGCCAAGATAATGCCAAGCCAAAGTTGAAACAATAATATAATTTAACATGTCATAAATACAACTTACATAATCTTGAGTGCAACCCTTTTCCAGGACCACCAGTTGAAAAAGATCCACCTCCACCCATGAGCAGCTATAAGATGGAAATATTTAACTTCCTCTTACAATATATCCGAATGTTAATTATTAAGATAGTAAAGGCCGAAAAAGGAAAANGTATAGAAGTACTAATCGGAAGTAAAGGGTCAGACTGAAGAAATAAACAAACTGACAGAAAACAAATTTATGAAGAATGAGGGAACCTGAAGAATAGTCAGTGTCATAGCATCTTTTTCCCTCATCCAGCCACCAGGAAGTTCAAATGCAAGAGCAACATGAGTAACCTGATAGACACAGAAAAAAAAAAATGTAATATTGTCAGAATTCCAGAATAGAAATCACAATAGGCATGAAACAGGATGAAAAGTAACTTCTGATACCCACCCCTGAACCGTCTTGGTGGCGGAAATCCCCTCCTCTATAACTTATCCCTGGCTCCGATGGTAGAGAAACGCAAGGCAGATCAGATAGAAGTGGTTCTGCATATTTTAAGAGTTCATCATGGTCTACACCATATGCTGCAAGAACCATCCTCGGAGCAGTGTAGTTTTTCTAAATCATATATCATAATCAATTAGGAGTTGACCTAACCATAAATAAAGCTTCAACAAGAAACTGCTGAAACAGAAACAAAAAAAAAAAAAAAAAAAAAAAACGAGANAAAAAAAAAAAAAAAAAAAAAAATCTGTAGGCAAATGATACTCACAGCAACAAACTCCTCCAACACATTGCTATTCAAATCACTAAGTGCAGATTCTGAAGTCACAAGAGGATTGCTATAGGGACCAGTGTAACCAGTTGTATGCACAGCCTCCATAAGTAGGCACTGAGGGTTTTTGGAGAAATCACTTATCTCATCCTTTAACTTATGGATCTGCAAGTGTGCAACAAAATAGTCAATGCAATCCAAAAGGCAAAGTCTGAATGCATAATCCTAAGATGACAAAAGACAATAAATACCTGCTCACTAACTTCCCAATCCAAAAATGCTGGGTTTCTAACGCAGTCAACAAGCAGCTCTACCATTTGAGGAACATATGTCTTTAGTGCATCATAGGTGTAACACGTATGTTCCCGGGAGGCTGATGAAGCTACGTGGCCACCAATTGCCTCAACTTCTCGCACAACACGCAGGTGGCTCCTATTCGTGGTACTTTTAAAGGCCATACGCTCCAAGAGATGTGTGACACCCAATGAAGATGGAGTTTCGTAGATTGAGCCACAATCGATAAATAAGCCAATTGAAGCCGTAGGTATCTGATCAAAAGCTTAATTATATCATCATACTGTCCATAAGCATAACAGTAATGTTTTCTCTCTAACGCACTCACGCGTACCAATAGAGAAGGGAGAATGAAACATCATCCACTACCTGTGATGTTTCGGATGCAATTCGAACCCCATTAGGAAGAGTGGTTATCTTGGTCTTTCCAAGCTCAACATAGTCAGGCAATGGTTCAGGATGTGGAACATCTTTCAGGGGAAAGTCTAGTGATGGAAGTGAAGACGTCCTTTCACCTGTCAACCAACTGAAAAAGCCTCCGGATGATTTTGCTGCAACAGCACTTGTACTCACATATCTACCCAACCAACTGCTGTCTGTGCGGCCCTGCAGGGAAGAAAATAAGGAAGTTAGTCTATTGTCATGCCTATAGATGAAAACAGAAAGATTGTGATGCATCCAGACAATAAGAAATTAGAAAGAAGAACACCTAGAGAAGGAGCAATAGAAAATAAAAAGCTCCAGGGTCAGCTATGGGATTCAATTAATATCATGAGAATCACTTACTTAACATACTCAATCACACAAAATACAGAAGTTCAAATTAGATATCGATCATATTTTATATTCAACCTCTACAAATAGTTGAAATAATATATTGTGAAAACAAAAATACAACTTTTATCATAAGCAGCAATTTCATCAGCAAAATAGAGACAACCAAGAAAAAAAAAATCTTCAAAACACAATATTATTTCTTTCACAGTTTCCAGGTGCATACATTTGACCAATAATGAAGCAGATACAAAGTAGCAACGTATTCAACGAAAGAATGAAATAGCAGCTAAACTATCCAGAAGCTTAAGCGACCATCAATAAATAATATCTACTTCCATAAGAAGCAGAAGAATATTTCAGAGATTTAATTCAGACCACAAGAATACAACATTAACAAGTAACCACCACCAAGAAATTAAAATACCGAATCATGACTCAACAGCTATCGTGACCATATCAGAAACATTACAAAGAAAAAAGAATTGCCAAGCAATGCGTGCTCGTTCTGTAAGTGTGTGTGTGTGTGTGTGTGAGAGAGAGAGAGAGAGTGGGTGCGTGCGTTGCTGGGGAAAAGGGATAATAAGGGTAGAGAGCACAAAGTTGTCGATAACGATGGACCTTGAGAGCGCGAATACGAGAAGACGCCACTCTTTGCATACTGCAAATGCTGTTATCTATCGGTCAATTCGAGAAAAACGTTCTGTGGCTGCAAGTAAATACAGAAGAGAGGAGGAAGAAGGTAACGGGGAATGAGGATCCCTACACCGAGATTCTTCTTTCTATTGGGCTTCACACGAGCGAAATATAAGTCATCTTGTAAATGAGTACTTTCTATTGATTTTGTGTAGATGATTCATAATAATAGATAGATTGGAATATATATAATTATAAATTAATTGTATAATAAAAATTATAATTATTTATATATATATATATATATAATCGCTAGTCATTTATTAAATAAAATTTCATAAATTTTACTTTATATATTATATCTATGTGCCACTTAATTTTCAAAAATAGATTCTGTTAAATTAAGACAAATCGTTACATTTTATATTAATTGAATAATAATTATATTTCTTATTGTGTTATATAATAGTTATTATTAGAATTGATAGTTATATTTTACATTAAATGATATTTGAAAGTTACACATACAAAATTATATTGCAAAACTTTTTGTTCAAATTTTTTATTCTAAAATAAATATTATATTTTTTTATTTAATTAAGCGATTTTTAAATAGATTAATTTATTTTCATGTCATAGCAAAATCCTTTAAAATCTCATAAGTAATTGTTATAATAAATTTAACATTTTTAAGCAAAATAATTGGTCATGATATCTCAAACTTATAAATATTATATTATTTATTACATTTTATTCAATTAATATAGTGAATCATTTGTAATAAAATAGTCACGTACTACTTATATTAACCAATGATTAAATTTTAAAACACAATACCATTATCTAACTTATAATTTTAATATTATATTTATAAATATAAATTATAATATTCTATGTTTCAAAATTTAACACTATTATTTAATTTATAATTTTAATATTATATGCATATAAATAACTTATAATATTTTATTTATAATTGTGCAAATGCACAAGTTGAATGCTAGTTATAATTGAATTAACGGACATTTGCACGTACATTCTCAATCCCTTTTTCCAACTTTCTTGTCAGTCCCTGCTTTTATTTTTTTTTTCCTTTGTATTCCCCACGAATTTTTTTACTTTCCTCTCAACTATCCATATATCAGCTTGAACCCTAGCCACTCGCCGGTACCTAAAAGGCGGCTCAAAGCCGAGCGGAGATATGACAATCTACAATTTCAGATATTGGGACTGAAGAGAGAAGGGGAAATGGGGGAGAAAAGGAGGACGTGCGAAAGAATTTCAGAGATTGGGACTGAAGAGAGAAGAGGAAATGAGGGAGAAAAGGAGGACGTGCGAAAGCCATTCTTTCTGGCTACTTTTTGACTACTAGAAAACGTGAGCAGAAATTCAGGAAGAAAGTGGTAAAAAGAAGGGTAATGCAGGGGCAATTGGTCATTCCTACATGCAGGGGCAACAGTGTAAAAAGAAGGCAGAGGCAGTGGCTTTTTTGTCCTAAAAAAAGGACACGTGTATGTCTCCAACTGCCTTACATTTTCTCTTAGATGAATAGGACTAGTTGTCTCTCGGCTGTGCACGCACAGCCAGCTTAAATATTATTTTAATATAAAATCAAAATCCACTCTCAACTAACCATACCTCATTTTTCAAAATTAACTATTATTAAAAAAAACTCATTTTGAGCGGATATATTTGTATCAGTGTTCTAAAAGTCGCTAGGCGCCCGCTAGACGCTTGACCAATGCCTAGCGCCTAGGCAGGGGCTAGTCGGGGCATAGAAATCAATATTAAATACCTTAGTTTTTATTTATTTTAATTACCTACAAAATAAAATTATCTCAACCTATAATAAATCCACACACCTAAGTCTAAATAACAATATTAATATATTTTAAAGAAAAATATTAAAACAAAATAATGTAATTAGTATTTAAAAAAAAATTAAAAAATTGCTGTCGAGCCCGCCTAGGTCTGCCTAAGCGCCGATTAACCGCCTGGGCACCGAGCCGCCTGGCCAATTTTTTCGACCGATTTGTGCAAATCGGAGGCGGCCGGGCACCGCTTAGCGCCTAGGCGCCGCCTAGGCCGATTTTTAGAACAGTGATTTGTATCCAAGCGCGTCTGAGTTCTTTAATTGTAAAGGAATCTTGCATTACCCACAAACTTTTCTCAATCAATATAGTGATCCATATATACTTAAATAATTTATATTTATGTTTTTTTTTATTATTTTTACTAATGATAAAATTTTGAAAACGTAATATGTTCATTATTTAAATTTTTAATATTAAACTCGTTATATTACTTATATTATTTTATATACATCTGTGCATATACACAAGATAATTACTAGTTTATTATAATGACAACAATTAACTGGGAAAAAAATAATGAACACAAGTTATTTAAAATCGAGCCACTTGTTACATATCTTATTGAGATGGAAAATATTCACTGATACATTTAAGCTTAACGAAAATAAATTGTACGCACCAGCTCAGGTGGATCTTTAATTCAAAATTAAGGAAAAAAATAAAATTGACGTTCCTAGTCAACTAATCGCGGCCACATTTTATTCTTCTCTTTTGACTTTGAAAAGACAAATGGAAAAGACACAAGGGTAACATTTGGGCAAAACCTTAAAAAAGTCTAAAATGATAGGAATCGAATAAATGATGCAGCCAAAAAAACTGCAATGGGCCATTGGGCCTACAGACCCTGGTCAATGAGATAGTCAGCGAGCCTCTCAACAACCATGTTACACTGGCCCGGTGTAACGGGCTCCTCGTACAGCCCAAAAACTAGTGCTTGGCCCGTCTTCTTTATTGTGATCCCTCCAGAGCCCTGGAAATATGATTCAATCAGGGCCACCATATGTATAAAGTTCACTTAAATATATGAATGTATTTTATGGATGTACATGCAGCATTACTGAACATTATATGAAAAATGAAATTTACTCTCCATCAGGTTACAATTTTAACAAACAATCAAAATAATATGTACGTCCAGAGAATCGATTAATGACTTGATCATGACAAAATTATGAGCATATATTAAAAAAAAAATTAAAATAAAATAAAATATTGAGATGATACCGAGAATCCGAAAGGTAATATCATCAATATCACCTTTTTTCCACGAATGACAGCATTAGGCTCTCCTTGGATGACCATGTATTTTGTTCCTGCAATGAATAGGCCAGTCGGGGCCAGATGCCCGGGCTCTTCGAAATCAGTTATTATGCCTTTGATCTCATCTGCCTTCAACTGTAATGTCAAAACAGATCTTTACGCACTACAAAAACAATATTTTTAACTCCTTACTACATATTGAAAATGACACTATATATATATATACTTGAGGAAAGCTAGCACTCTGAGCCCAAATAGCACCATCTTGGCCCATGATAGCAGCGGCCGAGAGGCGAACGCCCGCTTGCCCTTCAATGTCGCACATCAAGTGATCATCAACGTATGTTTGCCACGACATTTTCTTCTTTCTTGTTTTTTTTTCTTGTTTTTCTTCTTCTTTATTTTTGTTTCTTGGTTTTTCTAGAGATGTGAGTGTGATGATCAATAGAATATTTGAGTGTTTGGTTGAAGATTTGAGAAAGTGGTTTGAGGCACAGCACTATTCTCTCTTAGCCATTCATAAATGCCTGAATTGGTTGTCCTTTTAAAATTTGCCTATGTTTTAGCCACACCATGCATAAGTCTTCTTTGCCTATTTTTAAGTAATTATTATTGAGATGAATTGAAAAGGTCCAACCAAACATGTTTTTATAGTTGAGTATTCCAATTTTCAATTAAGTAGGCTGGAATTTTTCTTTTTATAGACTCTTGTGCGATTCAAAACTTAACTAATGATGCCTATTTCCTTTGTCCTTAAAATTAAAATTTCATAGTATGTAATATGAGTCAACCGTCCACTCTATTTATTTAGATTTCTAGTTGAGATTGCATCACAATTGAATGTATTTATGTAGTCAAACAATTAGGTGTGTTGATTCGTTGTACATTTTTTAAAAAAAAATGTTTACTTATGCTAAATAATATTTTAGTTTTATATATGTTGTTTTTTTAAATATGACATTTCAATTTGAATATATTCATACCAACTGAAAAAGTATGTAGGTCTAACTACTAAATTTGCATAATAACAAACTTACTGAAAGAACTAATGATCTGAATTTTTCATGAGTTGATATTAAGAGTTTAGTTCTTAAAACTTGTTGGAAATATGACTATGATTTCCTGCAAAATTGAAGAAAAAAGAAGAAGATCAAACGAATATATAGACAAAGTCGAGTTGCGTATTTAACATACTCTTTGTAACGAGAAATTGTCCCGCTAATAAGCTCACCATTAAAGGAAATCTACTAATATAAACTATGAACTAGCATTGATACCCGTGCAATGCACGTGTGTATTTTAAATAATAATATTTTATTTTTATTTTATTTTTTTAGTTACTTTTAGAAAAATACATATTTGATTGTTTAATATATGTGATTTTTTTTTTCATAAGTTCATAAAATGTTGTGAATGCCTCTAATGTTAGATAAAATATTTATATATATAATTATAAAATAAATACATTTTTTGTATATTTATTTTATAATATTATTAATTTTAACAACCCAAAATTCATATTTGGTTTAATAAAAAATTTAACTTATTTTATCTATTTTGTTTTACTAAAATTTTCACATAGGATGCTTTTGGAGCGGTCATGGCGAATTTGGACCTTCGCTGGCAACGGTCGAGCTCCGCCCATGAGGTGTACGACGTTTTTCCTATGTGAATGATCGCCGGCGCAATGGAGAAGAACACCCAGTAATTGCCTAGGCTCGTCGCACCGACGAAACGCGTGTTGCTCGACCTCTCTGGCGTCTTCTTTTTGAGTCCTGAGAATCTAGAAGCCCAACTGCCCGCTTTTCCTCATCGAAATCTCATTGTCCACTAAGTTTATCGAACCATCAACCTCGATCTCATGAATTTCTGCTGCCTGATTAGAGTTTGATGGGAGTTCGCATCCGAGTGCCGTGACGAGTGCTTGAGGATGCTTTTGGCCGGTTGTTGGTGAATTTGGACCCTCGCTAGAAACGGACGAGCTCCGCCCGCAAGGTGTTCGACGGCGCAATGGAGAAGAACACTGCGTTGAACGTGGCGAACAGATGGTCCTCGGGGCGAGAGGTTCAACGGCGGCAGTGCTGGAGTAGATCATGGCGGAGGAGGCGATGGCGGGATCATTCTCATCAACGATGCGCGATCTCGAGTTAGATTTTCCGAGGTTCTTCATTGGGACCGACAAATTTTTCTTTTTTTATTTTAATTTGTTATATTTATTTTTNTAATTAACTTAAGGAAAAATGAAGTGGAAAAAATGAAAGTGACCACATCACTTAATCTGTCGAAAATCAGTCCACACCAATCTAGTCAACGCTAAAATTTGCCAACTCAGCAACTTCTGATGAAATTCCGGCGATCAAAGCTGAAATAGGATGAAATTAGCTAAAATTTAAGAGTTTTTAGACCAATTTTGAATCCGACTAAGTTACTAAACGAAGATGAGAAACGACCTAATGTACTAAACTAATACTACAATTTTCTCTTAAAATTATGTGAACGGATGAATAGTAAATTAAAATTGTGATTTGTAATAATGATTGATTGATATTATTTAATTACATTAATAATATTGAGGATAATTGAATTGAATTAAAATTAAAATAAAAAATGATTGAGCTAATAATAATTGATTTTATTTATTTGGATCAAATCCATATCTAATCACTCTCGACCTAGAATAACTAGTGTGTATCCCGTGCGCTGCACGGAGGGGTTTTTACTTAAAACCTTTTCTAAGACTTTATATTATACATAGTTATTTATGTTTAACATCTTATTATTATAAAAAAAGAAATACTAAATATGAAAAATTATATATTATTTATTTGAATATAATGAGTGTCCCAACCAAACTAATAACATCCAACATATGATATATGATAAAAATAATTATATGATCGTCATACTTTTTGAAAAAATATACATATATTTCTAATAAACATGTAAGATCCGCATTTAAATTTGTATTTGGATATGGGATGAAAAATGAATATGTACAAATAAAAAAGTACCAAGAACCTACATAAAATGAGATTCTTTATAAACTTTAAAATATTTTGTAGTTAAGCAAATATTAACAAACAAAAACATCAATTAAGTTGAACTTATCGAATATAAAATATAATTTATGATATCATTGACCATATTTACCCGTTGTATTTAAAGTTATCATTGACCATATTTTTATGAATTAGGGTTTACAAAATATCTTTTTCAAAATAACAATTTTTTTTAATTTGAATTTGACTTTTTCATCCAATCGCCATTTTCCACAAGAATAAAAATAGTATTTGGAAAATTTTAGACGTGAAAATCAAATAAAATTAATTTAATAGTAATCGATTAATTTAATATTATTCAAAATTGTTTAATTCGGTCAACCCGATCTTAGTGCACGTTTCATTGAAACAATCGCTTACCAAAAAAAAAGGTAATCGCTTACAAAAAAAGGAAGTGAAATCTATCTATATAATATAAATCAGATTTAAAAAAAAAAAGGAAATGAAATTTCATAATTAATTAACTTAAATTGATGTTATTCGATTTATATCAACTCCCTTCCAAAAAAAAAAGGAAATATCCGATTCCTACCAAATCGATTAAAAAAAAAAAGGATTATGATATACGTCCAAATAAATTACAATTGAAATGTAGGCGGGATTATGAAAAAAAAAATAAAAAAAACTTTACCGAATGTTTGAAAAAAAAAATCGGATTAAAAAAAATTAAAAGGAAAAAATTCAAAACGTGAAATTAAAATTAAAAACGTGAATTAAAATTAAAAAAATTAAAAATACAAAATTTACCAAATCTCAACCCAAAAAAAAAAAGGAAAATCGAGTGAAATAAAACGTGAAAAAAAAAAGGAAAAGCGAGTGAATTAAAAATGTATCAAATCGGATTTTAAAAAAATGGTAACAAATCTCATCTCATCCTAAAGAAAAGGAATTATAACAAATTTAACAAAAAAACAACCAAATCTTATCCTAAAATAAAACAATCCGATTTCCATAAATCACATCCAAAATCAAATTAAGTTTGGCGGGATAAATGAAAAATATTCAAAAAGAGTTTCCAAAACAGGTAATTTTCGAAAAATTTGAGAGGAAAAAAATGATGTTTAAGCGGGAAATGAAATATTTATTCAAACATTTTTCCTTCTCCGTTTTATATAGTAATAGATAGTTTTTCACTTCATGATAAAACTCTATTATGTGTGCGTATATAGATGTGACTTCCACTTTGAGCCGTTTATTGAGCAGAGTTTGGCGGTCATTACCATTTTAAAATTTCTGTTTTCACATTACGGTCTTCCAAATCTCACCCACGCCGTGGACGGTGGAACCCTAAGATATTTCCGGGCTGATGAAGATCAAGAAACCTCTCAAGGAACTCAAGCTCTCTGTCCCAGCTCACAAATCTCCCATCTCCAGTTTCCTGTATTAAACCCTTCAATTATGAATTTATTTTTTTTCTTTCAATATATCTGTTTCAGATTCACTTAGCCTGACTATGTTGATTTTTCGAGGTACAGGACAGCAAGTGGGACCTTTCATGACGGGGATTTACTGCTGAATCAGAACGGGCTTCGATTGCTTTCTGACGAGAATGAAGCCCTAGTGAGTTTTTAGTGTTTTTCTTGTTCTTTTTCTATTTTTTGGGGTTTTTGTTTTCTTTCGTTTTTTTTTTTTTGNTTTGGCTTTTGGAACATTAATTGTAAAGTTCCAGTGTGCAATGGCAGCATCCCAGTTTTTCATATGGTTGCTTAAAATAGTTAAAATGAAAAAATAAAATGAATGGTTAATGTAATTCAAGTCTGGTGCGAATCTCACGCATCTATGAGCAGCTTACGGAATTTCTTTGAAGGATAATGGCTCCAGTTTTGTGTAAATCACTTCGAGGATACTCAGCTGGTGTTCTTTTTACCATACCCGTATCAAGATCAGTATTTACAATGACTAAGCTGGTAAATGCTGTGAAGTAGGTAATTAACTGTTAATGGCAATTTCAATCAGGTGTGGTTATGTACCAAGATCGCTGTTTCTTGACAGTGTTCATTATAGAAGAATTTAGGATTAACACGACTGATAAGATATCCAGCTAGTTTTTCTTTTAGCTGAAAACCATTTTAAAGGATTATAAACGAAGGCCATAAATGCGACCACTTGGCTTCATCTGCTTGGTGGTAGCTATATGTTCAATTACTATTTATAGATGCTTTTCCTGGATGCTAGGGCTTATAATTTATTGGATATTTCCTAGGTTTTTGTTACAAACTGATTTTTCTAACAGTAATTTTCTATTCCTACTGACATTTACTGATGGCTGATGCATATTTGGGTATGGTACCAATGTAGCTAAAAACAACTACAATTTGAGCAAACATTTTGATACAAATTAATTTGCTTCTGTTTTCCTTTTTGTAAATGTTCCATTAGCTATCTGGCTATCGCGTGTCACACTTATCAATCACTATCCACTGCCTGATAAATCTCAGATGCATCAGCAAGGTGCTTAACAAATATTCATTGTTTTCTCGTCACGAACATACATTAGATCGAGTTCTTTTCTGCTACAATACACAAATGCACATACATTCTGACATCAAATCCCCACCTTTTGACATGGTTTTCTTTTCCTTTTTTTTTTTAATTAATTAAGTAGAATAGCTTACACCATTGAAATAAAAACTGATAAGAAAAACCCAATATATTGTTGTAAATTTTAACTGTTAGGATTTGGAAGTGTGACTCTAGCTGTGTGAGAAACTAATGATTGAGCTTAACAGTTTTCTGTGTCAGTTCTGGATAGTTGACTTATTATTGTTCATAAAAAGGGAAGGATAACCTTATATATGGAGCCAAGAATTGCATCAGTTAGATTCGTCACAATCAGACTGCAAACAGTTTATGAGCCATTGCTGCTTTTGGCCAGCCCTATTTTCGTCATAAACCTGCTGAAGTGATATATAATTTGTTTTATCTCAAATTCCTCCGATGTGGACCTAACTGAACATTGCCTTTTTTGTTTATCTTTTTTCTATTGTGTGATGGCTTTATAGCCTTCAGAAACAAAGGAGATTGATCTTCAGTTCTCATTGGAAGATCTTGAGACCATCAAAGTTATCGGCAAGGGAAGTGGTGGTGTTGTTCAACTTGTTCGCCACAAATGGGTTGGAACATTGTTTGCCTTGAAGGTTAAATGCACAATAATTAAGTACTTCAGTATATGTTTATCTTTATTCATTGCTAGAATCTGATTAAGCTTATTCTTATGGTTTTTGTACGAGTTTTTTAGTACAGGTGTCATTTTCATATAACAATATACTACCTCCTTTTTTTTATAAATGTCATTTTGGCTTTATCAACAATTGTCTAAATAAATGACGTTTTGGATCTTTTGTACATATTTTTCCATTATTACCCTTATCTAGCTAATAAATACACTACGTCTTTTCATATTCACTCTTTATATTTTCTCAAAACATCCATCTCTATCCTCATTAATGAGGGTTATTATTGGCAAAAAAAATATTCTTAATTAGTGTGCAACTTCTCAAAACGACATCTATTAAAAAAAGGAGGGAGTATTATTTTGATTTTTATAAATATCCGAGGTAAACCTTTTTTCCAATAATTAAATGTCTAAGCAATCGGTGCAATTACATAATGAAATCAGTTATTTCTTGCCTTTCCTTATCCCTTTTCCACTTTACTTTTGAGAAAATAATAGAGTAAAATCACACACTAAAGAATCAAGAACGTAGCCATTCAGGTCTTCGTACAAAGTAATGGTTGTACAAAGTAATGGTTCTCCGTCTCTCTTAAGTTTCAGTATTTGGTGCATTAAGAGTTGCTCTCTTTTTGGTCTTCAAAGATTCAGTTACCTTGAAAATTGAAACAAGGAAGGTGTTGCCACAGGTTATCCAGATGAATATACAGGAGGAGATTCGAAGACAAATCGTTCAAGAGCTCAAAATAAACCAAGCTTCACAATGTCCAAATGTTGTGGTTTGCTACCACTCGTTTTATCACAATGGAGCTATATCTCTTGTGTTTGAATATATGGATCGAGGGTCACTAGTTGATGTAATCAGACAGGTCAAGACGATCCTTGAACCTTATCTTGCTGTTGTTTGCAAACAGGTCTGGTAGTTTCTTCCCTATACAATCAAATCATATATATCAAGAAACACAAGCATACTTCTTTGAGTTCTTTAAAAATTTTAATACAGTGTTTTGACTTCAGGTTTTACAAGGCCTGGTCTACCTGCATCATGAGAGACATGTGATACACAGAGATATAAAGCCCTCAAACTTGCTAGTGAACCACAAAGGGGAAGTTAAGATTACCGATTTCGGTGTGAGTGCAATGCTAGCAAACTCTATGGGTCAACGTGACACATTTGTCGGAACTTACAATTACATGGCTGTGAGTATATAAATTTTGGATCATGTTGTATTGTTTGCAATAGCAAGAAACAGCACAGATGCCTAATTAGATTATTTATTTATTTTTTTGTTTTCAGCCTGAAAGAATTAGTGGGAGTACATATGACTTTAAAAGTGATATTTGGAGTCTGGGCATGGTGATTCTTGAGTGTGCTATTGGGCGTTTTCCTTATACAAAATCCGAGGATCAACCAAGTGGCCCCAGCTTTTATGAGCTTTTGCAGGCAATTGTTGGGAGCCCACCACCCTCGGCTCCACCAGATCAATTTTCTCCAGAATTCTGTTCATTCGTCTCGGCATGGTAAGGATCTTAAAAATGGTCTTTTCATTAAAGGGACCATTATAGCGTTTATATTTATATACATCTGGTAACAATAGAGATCATCAAATCGTATTTTTGTGAATACGCGTAGTGAAGGAAAAACGGCGATCAACTTCATTTTGGATGCATTGTCGTCAGATCTTTTTTCTTTTCAATTCTCTTCTTGCTTAAACCTGATTTTGCATTATGGTACTATACGATACGAAAAGGAGACAGTTATGAAATTACTAATGTTTTTGCAATATGCAGCATACAGAAGGACCCTAGAGATAGATCTTCTTCCTTGGAACTACTGGTTAGTTTTTTTTTTATGTTCGTCATGCAATTATCTTATTACAAGTCTCTCGATATCTTTTCATTAACTAACAAATGTATTTGGGAATCGCAGAGCCACCCTTTCATCAAGAAGTTTGAAGACAAAGATATTGATCTGAGCATTTTGGTAGGTAGTTTGGAAGCACCAGTCAATTTTCCCAAGTAATCATATTCCAAGAACAACTTCTTTCATATAATACATTTTACTGTATCTGTTGTGCAATTTGTTCCATATTTATTAAGCAGATTCAAGTGATCTATACATTTTACTTGGTAATGGCTTGAAGTCATTATATATCAATTTCTTTGTAAGCTGAAGTCAATCCACAATGTAGTAATTGAGGTTTTTATATTTCACCTTTACATCCTTGCCATTATAACTAGCGATGCCATGTTTTGGTTGGAAAGGTACATCTCAGACGATTTTGAAAGGTCCAATAGGTGAAAATTTGGTAATTTACTCAGTCTAACAATTTTTTTCCTAGAAGTCAACAACTTAATTACACAAATTTGAAAAATGCTACATGGACATAATGATGTATTTTATTTGAATCAGTTTGAATTCCTTATGAAGAATATTAAACATGCTATTCTAATAGTAGGGGGTTATTCTTATTTTACCCAAATAGTTTGAATTAGCTTTCATCTTTCCTATTTTTTCAATCACTCTCAAACAAAATAATGTAACATTAAATTTAATTCCAAAACATTAAATGCAAAGCCGAAGATTCTGCGAAACAACGTATACTACAAAATAATTTTTTAATCAACAAATAAAACATAAAAATGGGAAAAATCAAGACGAGCTCGGTCTCATCCATTTGTCAAGTCCTCGTCAAATAATTAAAATGCGTCGCCCACAGTATATGTATCCCACACTTTTCACGCAGTATAAAATCACCATTTTCATCAATCACCATACAAATAAGTAATAAACCAAGAAAAGAGAGAGAGAAAAAAAAACAGAGATTCAAAAGGGAAAATGGACAAGACGAAGCAGGCGAGCAAAAGCCCACGGAGCGGCAAGCCAAGCGGGTCGGAGGTGAAGAAGGATCGGAAATCGGGGTCGGGCATGATCGGATCGCCCAAGAAAGGCGGCAAAGGCGGTAAATTCACGTGGGCCGGCGATGGCTACTCCGAGGCGGAGATGGGCTGGGCTCAGAAGGGCGCCATTGACGCCAAGGATCCCAATTTCGAAGATCCAGACCACACGCCCAATTGATCTGTTTCTTACACGGCCCAATCTCTGATTGCTTTTGAGATCTTCTAATTTCTATGCTTTTTTTTATTTAATTAAGATAGTGTAAATATATGCTTTCCTTTGAAGGATCCGGTGACCGGGAGTTTTATGTAGAGTTAATTAGATCTGAATCTCATGTTGTTCAATGTATTTTCATGCTTGTTTAAATGGTGAATCGTGATTATCAAAAACTTATATTTTGTTTCTTTTCTTTTTTATTAGCTAACAAATGAGATTTGGCCTTTGTTGGGATGGGTTTTTAGAGATTGGGAATGAGATAATTTTTAAAATTTTAGATGTAGGGATGGAGTGTTATTTGGTGTGCCAAAACATGGTTGAGTTGCACATTCCAAATCTTAATGATTTTTTTTGTCGTTAAGCTTGATGATTTTTTTTTTCCCAACCACAAACAGGACTTCCAATAATCTCATTTATAATCTCAAATTTACGAGAACACACGAGGAATCACCTGATTACATTCCCTTCATGACAAGAAAAGAGAACACCAAGCGGGGAAGCACAAAATTTACTTCTCCTCCTTTGCCAAAGCTAAACTGCTAGACCACCCTCCATAATAATACTTAAAGGAACAATTCTTAATAGACCAAGCTAATAAAAAGATGGCATCCACTATAGGTCTCACAATAGTATTACAATCAGCATTCTGGTTAACAGAGAAGCAATTCCTTTTGCACTTTAAATCAGTTAGTTTCTTGATTTCCATAGCTACCACAACTAGTGTTCTAGAAGTAAGTTAGTTTCTTGATCTCCATAGCCACCACAACCAGTGTTCTAGAAGTCAGTAGGCGCTCGACCAACGCCTAGCACCTAAAGCTCTTAGGCGGGGCCTATAAATCAAGAGTAAATACCTTATTCTTTATTTATTTCCATTACCTACAAAATAATAGTATCTCAATTTATAATAAATCCAGAAGCCTAAGTTCAAATAATAATATTAATATATTATAATGAAAACATAATAATAACAAAATAATGTAAATAGTATTTAAAAAAATATAAAATAAAAAACTGAAAAAATTACCATCGAGCCCGCCTAGGAGCGTCTAAGCCCGTATAGGTGTCGACTAACCGTCTGGTCGATTTTTTCAGCCGATTTTCAGTGAAAAGGACTAAAATTGCAACCAAACTTTGAATTACATGACTTAAGTTGCTAATCAAAATCTGTCCATATATATGAATTGGGAGTTTTAAAGGCCAAAGAACTGAAATTGCAGCAAAATTAGAAATTACAAGACTTGAGATGTTATATGTCATTCTAGATGGACCTAAATTGCTACATTCATAATCTAATTGATCAAAATATGCAATTTAGCACTTATTGTAATACAAACATAACACTATAACATCCATTCAAACAAAACTCAATTATTTTTATTTTAAAAACTAACTCATTTTATTCAGCAAATTCAATGGAATCCAAATAACTTATATCCAATTGACCCTTTAATCGAATAAGTAAAAAGAATTTTTCAAATTCTGATAAAAGGATATATGAAAAAGTCAAAACTCTCTGGTGGGTCGATCTAACAACTATCACGAGTGAAACGATGACTTTCGGGCAAAGCTAATTAATTTTAATTCCATACGACTTCACAAGCTGCGCACGTAGTTGGATGGTCAACTACGGCATAGTGTTCATATTGTCGGCTAAGGCTATTATAAGTAGAGAGGTACTGAAGTTGATATTCAACTTGTAAGCAACAACTTAAATTCTGTTTGATCTTCACAACCTTCCAAATTGATGGCTCAAGTGTCTCCAATGACCGGTGGAGATGACACCAATAGCTATGTCAAGAACTCCACTTTCCAGGTTTCCAATTATTATCATAGTAATAAAAATTAATTTGATTTTGTCCTGCAATAATT